AGTTTCTCACCCTAACTGAGTGACAAAGACTGGCTCAGTGTTTTGACTGATGCCAGGAGGATGCTCTGCATATTTACTGCCTGTGTATTGATTGACAGACTGGTGGAGGAGGCTATGAGTGGCAAATATCTGGACAGCAGTTTCTCTCTGCCCTGCCATCCAGGCCTAGACATCCCTCCAGAGATCATCAGCCCCTTCACTTCCAACAGTCTTAAGGTAAACCCAGCATCATGCAACACACACTGCACATTTCTCATGTCTGTGTCTCTTCAATCTTACTGCCTTGTTAATTCCAGCCTCTATTAGAGGCAGAGGAATTCAATAATTTTACTAGCTGCAATGTTATCCCTCTGCCCCTGTATCCTGTATACCTGTTCACTGGTCAGGGAATTTATGGAATATCATTGCATTCTCAGATGTTTTACCCCACAGGAAAGTGGTGAAACTTTATACATCCTCTGAAGTCAGATAATGCAACAAAATTGGATTTAATACCACTAAAAGTTGTGGGTGGCTGTTTTCATTACGGCAACCTCAATATAATTTAAACCAGATTGCTCACCCAGTTAGAATATCAGCTTTAAATGAATAGTTCATTTTATAAGCAAAATAAAATGTCACAATATGCAGTATGAAGATGGGTTGAATGCCTACTTTAGCTCAATTTCAGAATAAATTGTACTTATTAGTTTAACATTATTACTTTTACCCCTGCCAAGGTTGTTGTTGCTACTGGCATTTGTTTGTTCACAGCATAACTCAAAAAGTTATGAATGGAATTATTATTATCTTTTTTTTTTTTTTTTTGGAGAGGTAAGTTATGGGCCACGGCACAATCCGCTAGATTTTGGTGGTGATCTGGATCATTATCCAGATCCTGGAATTTCTTAAGGGATTCTTCTCCATTGTGAGATATTATTTTTTGCTTCTAATTCCATACACAATGCCTACAATGCTTGGACAAAGATTGCACAGTAATATCTGCATAAGATCTACCACACACCAAAGTCTGATCTCGGTCCAAATAATAATAATATATCCAGCTGTGGTGATCCAGAATGTTCTAAGTTATAGGGCTCATGGAAAACTTGCTACTGCGAGAAAACAAATACAGGCTTGCAACTAATATCAAACTAAGCTAGATCCTGAAATATTGTTTCTCTTGGATAACTTTAAAACTAGTAGTAGTATCATTGTGATTCCAAATGCTAGGGGTAGGTTTTCATGGTCAAGGATTATGAGGTTCAAACTATCATGGGAATATTACGTATAATGGCTTTATGGGGAAACCGAGCTGCCTTGGCAAACGTTTGCGATTTCTGAGTGCTCTCTAGTTAACATATGTTTTCACAAAAACAGACAAAAATCAGACCAGTTCTTCTGTTTCTGAAACTTGAATGTCTTTTTCCATTTTATCTGTTAGGGGCTTATTCTCGTCCTGACTTTAGCCTTACACACTACATTGTAATCATGCCTGATTCACAAGGTTTGTCAGACCTAAATCCCAGACATATATCATTGGCCATGTATTCATAACCTCTCATTTGTAGCCTTAACCTAATCATAGTTATAGGACCTGAGGAAATGAGAGAGAGAGAGAGAGAGACACTGGCTCAAAGGAAATTCTGCACGTCAGTTACCCATGGTGGGGAAAATATTTCACATTCACTCAAAGTGCATCTGAAAGTTGGCACCTTAATTACAGTGTTTAAAAAGTGAAGTTGCAGTGTTAAATGTGAAAATGATGTTAATTTTTGAAAATGTGTATTTGCCTGCCTTTTAGCAGAGATGTTAATTAATACTGAGGACATTCAGTATTAGAAGCTAATTTGATCTTTCTAACTGCATGTGGTTATTAAAAAGGAAAATTCCCTACATTCTCTCTTCAGCTAAACCTACAGGATTGCTAATAAAGTCATTTAGTGCTCTTGCTGTTGTGATTTACCCCCTTTGTCCCTCTCCCCTCTAGTTCCTGCTGTTACTGGGCTGCTTTGCTCTCTTTTGGTCTCTCTACTACACACTGGAGGTCACACTGGCCCACCTGGCCCCCTTGGGCTTTCTGTGCTGGAGCAGGAGACAGGGAGGTCACCAGGCCAAGAGGGGGCCCCGAAGGAGAGGGGTGGAGGAGGCACTGATAGAGGAAGAGGAGGAGAATGGGGAGGAAGATGAGTGGGACTCTGGGGTGGAGTTGACTGCAGTGCTGGACTGTGAAGCCAAGTCGCTGCTTTTCAATGGAGAACAGCAGATTGCATAGCAGTGAGCCAGATGATGGTTCTAAAATCTCTTTGTGTCTGAGTTCAGAGGACATCTCAGGCTTTCACCTTCTGCGCCTCACCCACTCCTATACTGTTTCTGACCCAGCATTAACCAACATTAACTGTGGTGATGCCGGTGACAAAGTACATTGCAGATGAACTTGGACTCTTTGCTCCTCCTCTGCATTCCCCAACATGTGGCCTTCTTTGAAAATCTGTGTTTATGCTGTGTGTGTGTGTATATTGTATGCCTGTCCCCTTAACCGATATTCTCACAAGGACACAAAAGATGAGGAAAATCTTCAAAAGTGAGAATATTTTCCCAGTCCTGGGGTTAAAATCCCCATCAGGATTAGGTTTGTATTAAGAGTGCAGGTCAGACATGATAGAGTTTAATGTACCAGTGTAATTGCATGTGTGAAAGTGTGCATACAGGTTTATCTGTGTGTAAATCTCCACCAGCTGAGTTTAGGACTGGGTGGACTGTACAAACATCTGTGCGGTCTTTCAACAACAAGATTGATAAAAACATGATGTGCGCTGTAGAAGGGTACAAATCTGCTGTTTCAGTGTGTGAATGAGTTTGTACTTCCTTTAGTGTATGTGTGTTGTGACATGAGTGGGTGTGTCTGAAATATACTGTACAGGGTCTTCCATGAAGAAGTCCTCAAATATATTAAGAAGGTGCTGATGTATTTTAAGAATGGGATTTATTTTCTGAGGTGTTATTTAATATTAAGATTGGGGTTATTATCTGTGGCTTATCAACCAACTACTGATAAAAACTTGAAGTGGGATTTACATATGTATTTTTTATGAAGTGCAATATACACACAGTGTGTGCCTCCAGGACAGATATATACCGATTTATACAAAGCCTTTTAAGAGATAAAGAATTCTAATTTTTTAAATGTAAAGGAGTGTTTGAAGTGAAGTTGGAAACTGTGTTTTGCCGTGCAAGTCACAGATTATCTAGATGATAATAAAAGGCTACTGATGGATTATCCTCCTATTATATGCTTCTTCTTTTTTTTTTTAAAGATATGCAAAAATGCACTTTGGGAACCAATGAAACTTGGCTATTAGTGTGTTATGACAATTTTTAGCCCCATTATTGTGGTTGAAGATATACAGTAATACCTATCCACAGTGAAGCTGTGAGCTAATGCTAATGTTGGCATGCTAACATAGGTGTAAATGTTTCCAGTTACTGTATCCTGTTAGCATGCTAACATTGGCTGACACTAACCCTAAACAAATTGTACAGCTGAAGTTGATAATTTTGTCATTAGTTCTGTTATTTGCTAATAAACCCATTAATTGGCAGTAAAGAATTAACATTTCCATCCCCAGAGCCACCTTGCTAATATAGCGAAAAGCCAAAGATAAACCCAAACAAGTGATTATCTTTTTAGAATGCACAACAACATATACATATGTGCCACTTCTCAGATGTAAAATTCCCATACTGGCAAAATATTGAAAAATTTATGTAGTTAAAACTGGTTTGTATTTCTCAAGTCATAAACGATACTCACGTGTCTATATGTACATAGAGACTAATCGTTTGGTGTAATTATTCCTCCTCTTTATAGTCCAAAAAAAAAATCCTTACTTAGCCAATTCAAGTAAAGGAGCTGGTAATATACATTTTTTGCATGCACAATGTATGGAGCATATTTCAACTCAGTTTTATTTGTGTAGTGCCAAATCACAGCAAAAGTCATCTCAGGACACTTTACAAAGGTCTTAAGTAGTGCAGGCATATATCGTGACTCAAAAATTAGCTAATGTTCAGATAAACCTAGAAATTAATGAGCTTAATCTGTAAACAATCTGATCTCAAGCATAACATGGTGTGGGCACAGCAAACAGGAAGTGAAACCAATTATCGCAGGAACAGGAAACAGCAGTCCTCCAAGGAAGTCTACCTTTTTCATATGGGCATGTGAGGACTACTTTAGACATACTTGAAATATCTTTGAACCTATTCTTTAAAATACTATAGGTAGTTAGGTATGTATGTTTCAGTCTATGATGATAACCCTCCCTTTTCCCAAAACGGTTACACTGAAATTCCCCAAATCACAAAGTCAGTTCAGCGATGTATTTCAAAGTCATTATTTAATAAGACAATGTACAAAAATATTGGCACTGATACAGCAGGCGTAGCATTGTGTAAATTGGAAAGTGTTGGAAAGAATATCCCTTCTGTAAGTTATGTAAACAAATTAATATTTGTGTCAGAATCCATAACTGATATTTCTAAAATCTTATAAACAGATGCCATCATTCAGACATTTGTTATATATCAATGATGAAACTATGGCCAGTAATATGTAATACGAGTGCTGTTTCATATTGGGAACAGCTTGACTTTGGTACATGGTTATCTTGATCTTTTCACCTTGACAGCAACATGATGGTCATTTTTACAATTACTATTTAATTAAGACTTAAACATTCAGTTGTACTGGTCCTAACTGCAGTGGGAAGGACAAAGCATGATGAGCTCTACAAGTGTCACCAGTGAAAGCATCTACCTAAGGGATTCAGGACAAGTGTCAAGAGGAGGGTACTTGTTAGGAAGTTACTAAAAGATTTGATGATGAAAAGGGAGTTGTAGTAAACCAGTTAGCAATTACAGGCTCTAAGAGGGTGCTGGGGGCTAGAGAGATTTTGAATATCTGTGGCTCAGTGATTTTACAGGATCTGTCGGGGCCGTCCATAGCTCATGCCCTCCTGACTGGCTCCCTTATTCGACCCCATCTGTAGGCCAATCACATTTTTGCCAGCCTTCATCTGCTCATCGCTGAAATCTCGCTTGTTCTCCTGTGCTTTCCTGCAATACATCATTGAAAATGTCAGTAAAGTGTTAAAAGTATACCTCATTAATGATGATGTATTCTAATTGAGGTTGGTAAGATAAAACAATTCAGTTTCACAATGAGACTCACTTGAAGAACCAGTTAGGGTCCCCATTGTATGTGCCTTCATTCTTGGTGACTGCCAAACTGCCCAAAGCTGACAGGGTCCTCTGCACCGCTGCTAGGTCCTTACCTGTCCCAACACACACATACAGTCAGGATTTTTAATCCTCATATGCATCACATCTGTTATTACATCACAATATTCTATCTTATTCAAGCTTTTATTTTTCATGTATCCTACAACCAAAGTACGAAAATAAAGTCAAGCCCTGTCTTCTAGCATTAGATGTTTACAGTAAGCCAGAATTGAAGACCAGGAAACCCGTCTGACCTTCCCAGAGATCAACTGTCTGGAACATGTCAGTCTTGGTGACGCCATACTTTTCTGCAGCGTTGAGGAACTGGGAGATCTGCTCCATTTGTTTGAAGGCCATGGGTGAGCTCTGGATCTTCTTCACAGGTTTCTCTCCAGCAAACAGACTGTTAATTAACTCACCCAGGACCTGGAGAGACAAGATGGAATGACAGAGGGTAGAAGTGAAGAGAAGGGGAACAAAGAAAGGAGAGTCACAAAAAATTTATCTCACTGCAGCTTCTAGTAAAAACAAGCAGACTCGGTGTACCCACACAGCCATCTTTCAGCCAGGCCTGGAAGCCCAGTTTTCCTGGCTCTGGCTTGCCCACACCAGAGCCACACTGACGACTGATCCACTCCACCAGGATCTGCTCCAGCTCAGGGTCATATTTGCTGTCAATCTTATCCTGAACCTGCCGGCTCATGCCGTAGGATGGGCCTTTGTTAGCCATGCCGACTCCCTGAGAGATGAGCATGAAATGGAGTAAGTGGGATAAGTTTGAGTAGGAACGACAGACAGAGAAAACAGAGAGAAGGGTTTAGGTAGATGGATGAGAAATGCAGAGTGAGAACACAGGCAAACAGGACAGCAATGAGAAAAGCTATTAATGAAACACGTAGGAAACCAGAATAACAATTTACAGCAGTGTGTACTGTTTATTCGTGACAACAACCAGATTAGATAAAACTATAGATTTCTTGCTTTAACATTCAACTATTACTATATTTTAATCCATTTTGTTTTTAGGAATTATAAAAAATACATTGCAGTTAAATTTGAATGTAGCTATATGCCAAAGCATGCAGAGATAAAGGTGTACAAAGACAAATACAAATACTCCTTCCATATGTATAATGTGTATAATATTCAGTCATATAAACACACTGAAGACATGCAGATTAAAAGCGTGTTTACAAGCATAAATGCTCAGCGCTCACTTTCAATACAGAACAGTGACAATGACAGCACTGTCTCCAAATGCACACTGCTTAGACCTATCAGGACGTGTGTCCGAGGCAAGGTGGTGTACAATGGGAGCTCTATCACAGCAAGCTGATATTTTTTTGTTTTTGCATATGGTCTTCTTTTGCACACACAGATGCACTCTCTCTCTCTCTCTCTCTCTCTCTCTCTCTCTCACTCTGTCTTCCTTTTGGTCTCTGTTTACGCACACACTCACTGCAAGCACATTTTTATTTTTATATGCTTCTCTATTGCCTTTGGGCCAACAGCCAAGTGCAAAACCCATATCACAGTGCTTTCTGCACCACCCGACCTTTGTTGCCATCTTGATCTCAGGTCACTTCAACTTCCTGTTCCTGGGGGGGTTCAAAGTTCAAATGTTAAGAGGTTAAACCCAAGATCTGACTGGAGAAGGCTTATCTCTGGCCTGGAATGAGTAATGGTGTTGCTAGGGGCAACAATAAACCTCTTTTTATGAACAATACACAACACAAGCTTTGGGGTCTTTTTTTCATTGGTCAATTAGTTTTTCCAACAGTATTTACTAACTGCAGAAAGTGACAGAATGAACCATGTGGTTCACCAGCAAGTTGCTAACTATGTCTGTTGCTTGGTGCTAGGAAGATAGTGTGCATTGGCTTTAACAGAGGTTTTTCAGCTATTATTTCTTTAATGTACTTATAATAGGTAAACATTTTAAAGGATACCTTTAAAGTAGTGAGTATTATGTAAAGAGGTACATATGAAACACCAAAGTATGGCTTACATTTTGTTTGACCTTATCATTTATAAGCATCTTCATCATTTCAAGTGTTAATTATAAAAGAAATGTCATTTCTGTTTTTTTCACTTTGTGGTACTAATAAATAAAGCATATAAATGCTTGTTCCACCACAGCAAACTGATCAGTCTGAATATTGGAGCCTGCATGCCAACGGCATTAATGGATTCTTGCCTAGGGTATCCACAGAGTGTTACCACCATCTCTGTTTAATATTCTTTGCATTCCCTGTGGTGCTTTTCCAGGCAGCAGAAAACCAAAAATGCATGCAAGGCAATGCTCACTTACATAAAACCACAGGTTCAGATACTATATTCTATTTTCATCTGCCTCTTTTTCTCTTTTGGTCTCTCTCTCTCTCTCTCTCTGGCACACACACACACAGACACACATACTCATGCCCCTTTGTTATTCCCACTGATGTACATTGTCAGTTAATCATTATTACACAGTAATGTTTGTCTGGTATTCCAATAACTTGTCTTTTTCCACACTGGCCTAGTTCTTGGCCTCATAAACAACTCACTGGGCCATAACTGCAAATCACACACACTACAGTCTTTGTTGGGTAAGAAACAGAAGTTATGTTGTCCATATTGTGTAGTCAATGCTTTCTTGTGTCTTGTTGATAGAAGAGAAGAGAAGGAATTTATGTGTACTCAGGGACCCGTTGTTATGTTTGGGACTCGGCTCAGGTCTGATAAGTCAGGATTAAACAAGCTTCTGTGCTGTTTGCTTCTGCTTAAATATTTAGGACATTGTTCACTTGGCATATAATACAAGAACAATGCCAAATCTCTTTAAGACTGCTTCTTCAGCCAACATAACATGGACTATCTACTGAAAGCAAGCAATGGTTTATCAAATTCTAAACCTTTTCATGGCATTACTACAACTGTTTCTGCAATTTGTTATGCTACAAGTACTAAAGCTACTACTGCTGCTATTGCTTGTACACTTACTAGTGATATTAGGACTATGAAAACTACTTTTGCTGCTGTTACAGTACTGCTACTGCTGCTACAGTGTTTGCTAATGAATTAACTAAAAGCTGTCAAAACAAAATGTACTAGCCTACTATAAACTACTACAATTCCTACCACCAGTTTTGCTTCATGTACTATTATTGTCTTGAGTTGTTTATTTATTACTACTACTAATGGTAATTATCAAAGGGGTCTATAACATTATGTAGAATAAAAGTAATAAACTTGAATATATGGACATTAAATAAAGAAAAAGGAATCCAATATAAAATGTAAAATATGGAGGAACATTTAAATAAATAACTAAATAAATAAATAAAAGCAAAAATTGGATAAAACCACAGATGTCAAGTAAAAGAAAGCTTCCTGTTAAAATTCCCAAAGTGCTATATCCCACAGATCACCTCCTTCCCTCCATCCGCCATCTTTCTCAGTCGTGTTTTTCCTGCTTTGTATTTCTATTACCATGGTAAATCTGCCTATTGCCAGAACAGGAAACCAGTGTGTGTCGTGGCAACTGTGGCCTCATGTGGCCTCACCTCCTTTAAAGCTAACCAGCATATAATGTTTTGTTATGAATAAACTGCCTGGGACTTGTTCAGATATAGTCACAGAGGATGGGGTTAGATAAAGCAGCTAACATTTGGTTAGATTAAAAGTATATTATAAAATTCAGTAGTGTTGATGTCAGCGGAGTCATCCGGTTTAAGGATGGCCTCCCTGGTTGATGTCTGGCTCTGGTTTCTGTCGGCTGCACAGAAAACTCTTACTTTGCTCTCGTTTGACAGACTGAGCATAGGAAACATTTTCTTAAACTGTTGCCATAACCTGATTAGTCTGGCAAATTTGATAAAATAGCTGCTGCATGTCTGAACTAATGTATTGATGTAGATAGTCTCTGATTTAGCAACTCAAAGCCAGAGCCCCTGCACCATTACATAGATGTGATCAGTTTCTTGCCTTTAAATCTACTGTGCCTCTGTGTTATCCTGTGTGTCTGTACTGCCACAGGATTAGCAGTGTGGATAGTGTTAACTGCTCCTGTTGCTGCTGCCTGGAAGCTGAGCTGCCCACTTTCCCTCTGCTGGCCTGGTGTTACTGGAATCACTGGATGTGCCATCTTTAAAGATTCACTAGTTATCATCAGTCCAAACATCACAGCCAGGTTTTTAGACTATACAGCATTTGTGTTCATAAAAAAGAATGAACATTTGGATGGTTTTAAATATCTTCTGTGGAGATATACTGTTCATGCTTGTGTTAATATCTGTGCATTTCTTTAATATTCTTTTGTTCTCTGCATCTGCATTTGTATCCTCATTAGGAAATGAGGTGTCCTTTCATGCCTTGTGAACTCAAGCTTCTAAAGCCCATGTATGGCATTAGATCATTTGTTTGTACAAATGAAAGTATGACCACTGACAGGGATATGCAACACTGTCTTGCTCAACTCTCTGTTTCTCTTCTCCTCACTTTACATGGAAAACATTTTAACTGTCAAATAACACCTGGATCATATTAACCACTCACTCCACTTGCAGTGAGACAGTTCTCTATCAAAAATTATATGGATACCCCAATAAAAAGCAGATGGTTTTTGTTAAACCAGATTCCATATCAAAACAGCACTTTTATTGTACTGAACAAGTGACTAATACCTGATCCATTACATATAAATAACATAACTACCATAAGCACCTACTCCAGATTGAATGCAACAGTAATTCAAACAGAAGACATGATATCCATATAATCCACAGAAACACCTTCAGGAAACTTCAAACTTAACTTTAATATTCAGTACATATGTGATAATCACTGTTTAACTCAGACAGACCTCTTGTCTGACCTCTGAATAATTGCCTTGCTCTTATTTTGAAAAGACTACAACTTTTGTTATTGTCATTTTATATACAGACATGGGTGATGCAGACACTTCTATTCTGATATGACACTAGGGAGGCATCATGCAATCAAAAGTACTATTGACTATCTATAAAGTAGCCACATGTCCTAGTGACTATCACAAATCAACATCAGGAGCTTTATCCTACATGGAGGAATAAAAGAACAGTATACTCACTATATGAAGGAATAGGTCAGGTCTCTGCTGGCCACTAGTGCAGCGTGTAGGGTGAGTGTGGATGTTTGACTGAGTGTTTGTATATGCCTCAGAGGGACCACCCTCCCAAAAATGCCAGCTTAAAAGGGCCAGATGAGGCTAGATGACTTCACTACA